GACTACACTGCTCCCTCTCCCTCTGTAGCATGCACAAGCATTGCCTACCACAACTTGGTATCATTGGCTTATAAAGTATACTGGATCCCTTAATCACTTATATCTTTAATTATCTATCTAGAGAGTCAGTTACTTGAGGACCGTAGCTCACAAGAAACTACCAAATATTGAAGTAAATTCATATGTTCTTCTCCAGACCCTGGGAATTAGAAATTCTGTGAGCAGTGGGCAAGATTTTTAAAGACCTCTCCAAGGACTTAGTTCTTCTGCACCTTATCGTCTTAGGGAGGACCTCTGCCCTAAGTAACTTGCCTTTTGGCCAGAGTTCAGTCAGAAGGCATGATGCTAGCTGTTCTTTGGCCTCTGAAATTTTTAGCTAACATGATGCACATATCTCCTACTTTTCAAAAGTTGGTGCCACTTTGTTTTCATGAAAGACCTACATTAATTAGTTCTGGGTTTTGCTAACTGAAAAGGATTTTTGCTTTTATGTAAAAAGGGGAAAAGTGAAAATAGTGTTTGGCATTTTGCAGCAAGCCCAATGCAGGCAGGTACACCTCGAGTAGTGAAAGTGGCCCCACCAACCTCCTTCCTCAGGAACTAGACTCAGTATCTCAGCAGCAAGCTGCCAAAGCTTTGAACTGTGTTGTAAGCATCTGTGCATTATTTCAATGTATTTTGTGCATCTGTTAGCAAGAAATGTCCTAAGATATCAGAAAAACCCAAAAGTGGTTACGTTCTGGGTCTGGGCATGCTCAAAAATCTCCACATAAATTAATGGAGATTGCTTGTTTGCTTTATTCCACTTCAGTTTATGAAAGGTTTCATAGAAATGCTCTATTTTCAGATAGAGGGAGAAATCTGTACTTGGAGAAAGCCCCAAAAGGCCCTCCTCCTCGCACACCCCTGCACTGACCTCAGGCCTCAGGGGGTTGTCACTGCTACTGTCATTGCAGCAGGCACCTCTCAGGTGTGTGGAGGAAGGCCATGACACTTTTGAGAGCCTGCATTCGAAGGAAGTGAGGACCAGTGAGCACTTCAAACCCTCCTCTCTCCCAGGTGAGAAGAGCCTAATCCAGAGGTTGCTCAGAAGTTAGTCCTGTGGTTTATATCCACTTGAATGAGATTAGGGAACTCCTAGAATTCCTGGTAACCTTTAGAGGCAATATCCTTCTTTTTCATTGGTTTAGGACACATCTTTCAGCTGGACCCTCTCTCTGCTAAGAATTGAGCAGTACAAAGGAAGAAGAGTGGTTCTGAATTAGAAGAAGAGATATGCATTAACAACGATGTTCCCCAAAGCCAGTCAACCACAGCCCAGGAAAATCTATGTAATTGGCCCTAATTAGTAAAATTACTAGCGATATTAGGAAATAAGCTAATGTCACACATTTAAATATCACAAATAGCTCTCTCTTTGAGCATTCCTGCCCCACAAAATTTTCCATGAAATTAAAAACATTCTCTGTGGGCCTTGTAGTAATTTCTTCTAGAGTCTGAAATCTACCTGTGTGCTTTTGTGTCACAGAGAGTATATTATAGCACAGGATTTGTATGTTTGTCTTTGTCATGCTCAAATTTAATTTAGGCAAAACATTAATGGAGTAAACATCCCAAAATTAATATCGCTCATGTTTACATTGTTATAATCAAAAACTAAAATTCAGGTATGAAGTATTCATTTTGTATTTATTGATTTTAACTTTCCGTCATAGTTCAGTTAGGCTCAATTTTGACAATACAGTATATGTACATATGGCAACTGTGCACATATACATTGTCTGAATACATATCTATAAATTGCCAGAAAATTGACAAACTTTATAAAAAAAATATCTTCATGTTTGAATCATCCAAAAGCCATCTGAATACAAATTAACATATACATTTGGATTCAAATTTGTGAAACAGCATGAGAAATAGCTTTCTTAACTCCACAGTAATAAAAAATCAAGAAACAGATATTTTTTCAATTTCTTCCCATTACATTTTATGTCCACATTTAGATGTATCTGGGAAGATCTCTAAACTGACACCACTGTGAGAGGCCCCTGGGATTCACAAATATCATTTCCATGACACTCAGAAAACTGGGGGAAAAGAGGAAAATGTGAGCGGCGATAAATTGGAGCTAATCTCTTTCTGCCACAACCTGAAATGATACTTGGCCAGGTAATCTCCCCATCCTCCATGCTGTAATAAGGGCTTGTCTATCTCTCCCAGATGCCCAACCTGAGTACTGGTATCTTCCCCAAATGCTTGTACTAGAAATTTCCTAACAGGATTCCAAGGCTCTGAAAGAAAAAGAAAAATGAAAAATAATTCTGTCATGTAATAAGTATTGTAAGTTTGAAGAAAAAGCAAAGCCTGGTGTTTCAGGTCTGCAATAAATAAAACAAATAATGGATTCTTTTGGGCCATAAAGCTCAACCAACCATAAAATGCACAAAGAGCCTCTGACAAAGGTCTTCTAAGCCTTCTGGGGCCCCATTTGATGTGGCATTGCTTTGAAAGCCCCAACCTGGCCCTGCCCCACTATGTATCCATTCTCATCCAAGAAAGAAAATCCTGGATCTAAGCATGAAGGCAGCACGTAACAGCTCCAGGCCTGCCTAGCACACCGTGATTTTGCACTTTGACCATGTTGTTGGAAAGAGATGATCACAAGGCCATCACCGTTGTGCACTAACAGATAGTGAAACTCCAGTAGGAAGAGATCATTGCCTCTGACTAGTTGGGTGACTTTGGACCAATCACTTAACTTTCCTGATCCTCAGCTTCCTCATCTGGAAATTAGTGATAGAACCCTCCTCATGGTTGTTGTGAGGATAAGATAAAGCAAGCAGGTAATACTCTTAGTGGAGGGTTGTTCTAGAGCAAGCCCCAGCAATAATCCTCTTCCTTTTTTTGGTGGGAGAAATGGGACTCAATCTAGAGGTATGGCCTATCAAAAATTCAATCCAACAAGCATCCTAAGGTAGGTAAGGAAAGGAGACAATGCACCCACTCTGCTTTCTGTGGCTCCTCTTGGAAAGGTTGACACTGCTTCCTCTACTCACACACTTTCCATCACACAGAGGCTTGGTGCTAGTGTCACCAGATTCTGTGTGTTACTTTCTCGTCTTCTTGTCTGGTTTGACAGTGACCTGTTGGCATGCCTGTTTTCCTCATCAGGTGTACAGCCCTTTAGTTCATGGATCATGATTTACTCAGACCCTCTAGACCCAAACTCCCCAGAACTCTCAGTCCAGCAGGTCTATAATAAACATAACCTGCAGCGGTGGGTGGGGGGTGGGAGCATGGGGGCATTCAGTGGTAAAACCCACTGAAAAGAGGACACAACAACTAAGTTGTCAGAAGAAGCTTTACTTTTATCTTGGCTCTGGCAACCAGTATCTCTTTAACCTTGGAAAAATCACTTAATTTCTTGGGACATCAGCTTCCTCATCTGTAAAGATAATCTCCAATTCCCTTTGTTGCTCTAAAATTCTACAACTTAGAGAAAAACAGCTGCAAAAAGATCCTTTGTTATCAGGTTGCCAAGCTGTTAAAGCAAAAGGATGCAACCAGCTAAGCCTGGACCAGTCCCCTCAGTCCAACATTTAAAATTGAGATTCCTTCTAGCATTTTCAGCTGTTCTCACTCCTCCTGTATGTATGTATGTATGTATGTATTTTTGAGATTTTATTTATTTATTTGACAGAGAGAGAGAGAGAGAGAGAGAGAGAGAACAACCACAAGCAGGGGGAGCAGCTACCTACCTACCTACCTACCTACCTATCTAATGAAAGTTCAAGGCAATGAATCCTATAGCTAGGATTAAAACACCACTGGGTCCGTGTCCTACAGGGCTTGACCCAAATGCTCTGTCCACAAAGAGGAGAAAATGTGCTCATACACCAGTGAACACCAGCTTGAGGAGCAGGGTCCTGGGGGTGGGGGGACCTGGTAGCCCAGGAATGCAGAAAGAGAACACAGGCCCACATGGACTCTGGTTCTGGCTGTAGTCTCCACTAACAAAGCACCATTCACCTGACAAATCGAAGGCTCAGCCAGATTTATGAGTTTCCTAAACTCAATCAGAATGGAGCCTGCTCTGACCTACAGAAGGTCACTCAACCATATTGAATATTTGTCAACATTCCATGGCCAAAGATAAAGTGAGTAAATATCCAAGACAGATTTAGACATGTCCCTGTTTATTCCTGGAAACTGTGAGTGTCTGTCTGGGCACAAAGAGCACAGGAGGTAGATTTCCCTTCCTTGAACATAGACTCTGCGGGGCCCCAAGGCGCCTGCTCACAAGCCAGCATCTTGTCACTGGCACTCAGCAACTTACACTGCAAGAGGCAAAAATGGAAGCACACTGCTTCCCTCACCTCTGTGCCTGAGGAAACACACAGAGAAGGTGAAGTAGCAGGGTTAAGTGTCAACCCTGCAGTTGGTACTTCCTGCTCTTTGCCAAACTCAAGGTGAGCCAAGTTGTCAGAGGGGCCACACAGCGGGTTTCACTTTTCTCACGTTCACCATTCACAGCCCAACAGCAATGGTGCCTCCTTTTCACAAGCTTATTTTTCACTTAAACAAAGTATTCATTAGTGTTCTCCTTATGTGTCCTGGGCAGCTATGGGAAATGGAAACTAGCCTCCATTGTACTACCTCTAGCACCACACCCATCAGCTCACTTGCTTCTAAAAAGAGAACACCGGGCTCTGTAAGGTGGTACCAAACCACAGAGGCAGGGACTTGGCATATCTAGGGCTCTTCTTGGGAGACAGAACTAACAGGATGTTTCTGTATAACTAAGGCCTAGCACTTGCTCTGATTTCTGGGGCCACAGATGAAATTAGAAGAAAAATTGGGGAAATGAGCAACATCCCAGGAGTCAAAGCATTTACTTAGTCTACCCACTTTCTCCCAAGTCCTAACAAGCCCCCTGGAGTATAATCTTTCTTTTTGTGACCCATTTGGTCTTTTCTTCCCCCCGTTGTCTTTGCCAGGAAGGTGAGTTTAAGAAGAACCTAAGAGAGAAATCTTCATTCCTGAATTTTGCTTCAGACAAACAGCTTCTAAGAACTGGTGTGGCCTGATGAACAGATGACCCACAGACCAACCCCTCTGGAAAGATGGCACTCTGATAATTTGGGTGAAGAGTATTCACCAAAGACAAGAGAAGCTGGGGTAACGTTGCAGAACCTCCCAACAGAAGAATGTGTGACACTGAAACTGTAATCAGCTGCTGATCTGGGCATTAAATCTCTGAATTTTTTCTTGTTGGAGCCTTTCTGAAGAGCAGGAAGGTAAAGTGCTTGGCTTCTATATCTGCTCCTGGATCAGAGTCCCAGGTTGCCTTTAGCCCCTTCTCTGCAGGCAGTCTGTCCCTCTTGCTCTGAGAAGTGTCACACAACGTCCTCAGGTCCCTGCATCATCCTCTAGTGGCTGAGTGAATTAACGCAGCTTCCACCACCTCCAAACAAGTGATAGGGCTAGAATGCCAGGTGACTCGGACACCACACTTGAGAAAATCTTTCTTTGTCCCACCAAAGGCCATGTTGTAGTTCTTCCACGGCCTCCCCATGTGCCTTGGAGAAATCACTTTACCTCCACCAGAACCTCAATGTTCTCACTTACAGAAAGAGAGCTTCAGGCCAGCTCATCTCTAAACTCCTTTGCAAGTGACTATTTGATGATAACCTCCTTTCTTTGAGAGCAGGAAACAAATGTATAGCATAAATGATTCTTAATTCATGTATAAAATTAAATGGAGGACCAGAGTGGGCCAGTCCATGGGCAGAAAAGCTGAGTGGGCCCATTCCAGATTGTTTTCCATGAAAAGATTAAGAACAAAAAAAGGGTCTATATCTTATTTTTCTTTATAAACCCACATTAACACAATGCCTGGTTATTAGCAAGCAATAAAGATTTGCTAATTAATCCATAAATGAATGAAAAACCCAAGGTCAAGCAGATACTTCAAGGTGGGTAGCAGTTTTACTTCTTTCCATGCATGTGTGTATGTGCATATGTGTGTGTGTACAGGCATGGGCATTCATTTGTATATGTACATGTATACACACACAACACATTCATCTATATAACTTAGCACTTAGTATTAGTTGTCTGTTTCTTCTGCTGGAAAGCTCTTTGAAGATGAGATTTCATCTGATTCGTTGCTATTTCCTCAATATTTAGCCAGAGTTTGACTTTGGCTACTCCAATAAACTGCAGTAGAGTTTATTGAATGGATGAATGGATTGATTGATGATGGATAGATGGATGGATAGATGGACTGACTGATAGGTTAACAAAGTGGCAATATGTACTTTGTGAAATATTCTGTGCAACCTCAATTCCTATTTGTACCTTAAATAACATAGAAAAAAATCATAGTTCTTATTTTTCCAGTTTTTGTTGGGGGAGGAGGGAAGAAAAAGACAATGGAGAAGAAAATGGAGCCAAGAGGAGGTTAGAGTGGGGAGAGAGAGAAATTAGAACTGTAAAAAAAAGTCCAGGAGTTCTGTCTTTTTTAGAGACCAGGAGGGAGCTGTCCACAGTTCACTATAATCAGGACACTGATGCTTTGGAGAAATAAGATATTAAATTTCTGGAATGAGGAAAGAGAAAAGAAGCTGAGAAGGCAACAGTCAAGAAAATGAATTATGTAAGGAAATCAATTATGTTTTTTATTCTTCTGTTACTAATCCTTTAGGATTTTAATTTTTAAGTTTTTAAAGGGACTTAAAACGTCTTTAGCACAGGTGAGGTAGAGTGGGATTAAGAATAGGCTTATGCATCAGCCATGCATTTGGATTTAGGAATTTGTCACAGGCAAGGAATTGAATTTCTGCCTCAATATTCAAAAGCATCCTATTTTCCTCTACTGTCCCACAAGCAGTGCTAGTTACATCTGTGTGTAGCACAGGACAGGGAGTTTGGACCACCTCACTCTAAGGGGGTAGAATTTGATTCCGTAACAAATGAAAATGGCTACCTAGTGGCGCAGATAAAGAACAGGCTTGAGCAATCTCAGGGTTGAGCCAAAGGAAAACATAAGCCAGCAACATGATCCATGGCCTCGGTCACTTCTCAGGAAGGCTATTTCTGTTTCCCCAATTTCCCCAGCACTGTTCTTGAGAGCAGTGTTGATTACCAGATAACCAGAGCCTTTGGTCTTTCACAGAATCAACAGCTTGGCAGCCACAAAGTGACAGGCATCAATACTAATCGCACAAGCCTGTCTGTAACTGGACCCTGGGACAGGCTGTGCTACACCTGCCTGTCCAGGAAATGTACTCCAGGGCCTCCCCCATGAAAACCTCTAACAACACTTATTAGCTGTTTCCTTGCCTGATAAGTGGTCTGTGCCTAGTTCTGGCTCCCATTATTATATTCATTTCAGCCTGTGTCCTGAAACCTGATACCTTTGTACTTGGGGGGTGCAGTGTCTGCCACCTGACAATAATTTGACATGACACAGTGACAGAAAACAGGGAGAGAGGATGGAAATAAAGAGCAAAGGATCCAAGCTGCTGTGCTGGCAGCTCCAGGCAGGGGTGCCCATCAACAATGATACCTGTTAGCAGGAGACCAGGCCCCACTGATAGAACGGTCAGATCACTTACGTCAGAGTTCCATCGAGCTGGGAGATCTCAATCTTCCTTTGATGGCCAAGACTGAAGGCCCAGGGCAAAATTACAATGGGTTCTGCACCTGCACTTTTGAGTTTAATGTGGCTCAACTTCTGCTCCCACTTCTATTACCCTAGCACCTCATTCATCTTCTTCTTTCTTCTTCCTGGGCCTCTGTGACTATGGTCAGAGCTGTCACTGTGGTGGCAGACGTAGTACTGAACCACTAGAGCAGCTGCATGTCAGTGTTATAATCATTCAGGAGACCATGTAAGGTGTGAAGGAGAAGGGAGGGTCAAGGTGAGAGCCGTTAGCTCCTGGAAGCCCCTACACAGGCACAGCAGTGGGAATGCCGAGGAATCCAAGGAGCAACATTAAGGACAATCTGTGACTGACCAGTAGTAACCATGGTCAAATGACAAGACTACCCTAGTCCTTATCTATACAATGAATGGGACTGACTAGCCCACTAATCTTAAAACCTTTAATCATTATTATGGTAGCAGGACAAATTTTAGTTAAATTATATTTTCTATTAGACCTCATTATATAAAATTTTAAAAAATGGAATTGAGATGGCGGATGCCAGGCCCAGGCTTGGTGGCTCAACCCTGCTGGACTACTTGTATGACCCTCTTCCACCACTGACACATCTCTTTGGAACATGAGCAGAGTTCTCCTTAGTACAGCCTGAAAACCACAAGGCAAGTCATGTCACAGTTCCCATCCAGCCCAAATATTGTTCCAGATAAGCCGTGGGAGACCAGAAAGGCAAAGGGAAAGCATGGGGATTTGTAACCTATTAGAATTATCTTCTCTTTCCCATCTTATGTGGGTTTTTGTTGTTGTTTTGTTTTTTTCATCAGTGGCCCCAGAGCTTTGCGGAAGTCTATGGAGAGACAGAACAGGTAAAGGAAGGACATGCAAGCTGGGCCCTAGGCCCACTCCCACTGCAGTTTGTATAGCTCAGATGAATTTTTACACATATTGGACTTAAAATAGAGAGGAACCTTGAAAACTATCAGCCTAGACTCAAGTTTTATAAAAGGAAATTACACACCAGAAATATTTTCTAATATATTTGATATATCTAGGATCTATTATCTTTTATCATCATCATGACCACCACTACAATGACACATTTTACCCCCAAAATAAAATTTATTCTTTGGCACTTATTCTTATGAAGCTATTATTTGGCAAGTATTACTTATAATGTCAATTCATACAGTAATTAAATGAATTAAATACTTCTGGTTCAGAGAAACACCCTCGAGACAAGTTTTGATTCCATCAACACAAGGTAAAGGACCCAAGAGGGGGGAAGCAGGAGAGGGAGGGTTAAGGGGAATATTTAACCAATGACTAAATGTCATTTTCATTGAGTCAAGCAATTCTCATTTTAAAGTGTCCTGGAAACATGTTGAAGACTTTTTTTTTTTTTTTTCATTTTAGGGAATTCTTTTTTGACCAACGAATAACTCTCAATTAGCACCAGTGATTAACTGAGGTTGATAACAGTTATAGATAACATTTGTAACACTTTGCTATGTCCCATTCTAAGAGAGTTACATTTACAACTGCCCTAAAGGAAGGTACTACTATTCTCCCTTTTTAAAAATGGGAAAACTGTGCCACAGAAGGCTAAGCACCCTTCTAGAGTGTCAGAGTTGGTAAGTAGAAGAACTGGGATTTGAACTCATGTAGTCTCACCCTGAAGTGTGTGTTCCAAACATTTCTGCCATCCAGGAAAGAAGGCTGATGAGGAAAGAGGAAAGAATTAAGCTCTGGTAGGGCTCAAGCAAACTCTAAAGTCAACAAAAATGTTGCTCAATGGCAGAAAGCTCCCAGTTCTAGGCCTTTTTTGCATCCATATCCTTTTTTTTAAAAAAAAAATATTTTATTCATGAGAGACACACAGAGAGAGGCAGAGACACAGATAGAGAGAGAAGCAGGCTCCTTGCAGGGAGCCCGAGGCAGGACTCTATCTCAGGACCCCAGGATCATGACCTGAGCCGAAGGCAGATGCTCAACGCTGAACTACCAAGGTGTCCCGCATCTATATCCTTTCTATCATCCTCCCTTTCACATGTCAACTTACCCAAGACACCTGGTTATTATGTTGCTTACTCTCTTCTTAATCATGTTCAGAAAATATTCAGGGGCACCTGGGTGGCTTGGTGGGTTAAGCACCTGCCTTCAGCCTGAGCTGAGCAGGGAGCTTGCTTCTCCCTCTCCTCTCTGCTCATTCTCTTTGTTGCTATCTCTGTTGCTATCTCCATCTCTCCCTCAAATAAAGTCTTAAAAAATAAAAAAAGAAAACATTCAGATTTTTTTTCTCATCCAGGTATAAATAACCAATGATCTATTCTCCCAAGGAGAGTTGTGTTTTGTTTTTTGTTTTGTTTTTACCAGCGACCAAAGCCTTGTACTAAAGAGATGAAGTTCCACTTGCAAAATTCCAATGTCAGCATATGACAGGGTGTATGAACTTGAAATCGTCAGTCCTCCTAGTGCCCCTGAAATCTACTAGGGGGTTTTGAATTTACTAGGGAAAACCTGTCCAAATTGGGGAATGAATATAATCTCTACTCCAGATTGTATTTGATGGAAAAACCATCAGAAGGCTTTGGCCTTGGATTTGTGGGGAGATAGTGGGGGGTAGAGGGGTAGGGTTGTGGGGGCAATTAGGAGGTTGGAATCACTGACCTCATCTGAAACTATATTCTATACTGCCACTTTGGGTAATCCACGGGTTAACATTTCCTCTGAACATTCAAGCTCCTTCAAGTTATTTATTTATGTTTTGTCTTCTCTTTTACAGGGTTGAGAAAATGAAAGAAAAATAACATCCCCTTCCCCAAAAGCATTCACAATGGATCTTTGGGAGGAAATGGTAGGGCTCAATGAGACACACAAACTCAGCTATCGCTTCCATATTAGTCTCTCCTTCTGGCCTGGAGAAATCACTCAGCACCCGTAATGAGAGGATGCAGTGGCTAATTTTACACCATAAATCATAAGGCTAATACTATGACTAAAAAGTGATGCCATCAGCTTCTTTTTCTTCAAGGCTGTTAGATCTTAGTCAATTACTTATGAACGAAGATTTAAAGACTTCAGAAGCCCCTCTGCCAACAAAAGATGCTTTTGTAATTAGCTTTCTTTTTCCTTGGAAAGATTCTCCCACACCTCTGGAAGAAGTTCCTTAGCATTTCTGGTGTATTCTCAGCATTTATAGGGAGGATGTTCGCAAGGGAGCAGAAATTAACAATGCCTAGTTAGTAGAAACCCTGGAGCCTTGATACCCTCCAAGTGATACTGCCAACACTCCTAGGATAGCCAAAAACAAGAGGAGATAGGCAAACACACAGAGATAGGGAAAAAATATACCTTGTTTCCAACATATTTCTCAAGCTGTTTAAATGTGAAACAAAATCCTACCAGGCTACAAGTTTCCAGCTGTTATGATATCATAAGATAAATTTACAGCTAGAGAAACAGCATGTTTGCTTTTATAAAATATGGAAATATAAGTGTTCCAAGTGTTAAAACTGTCCAAACAAATTAATTCAAGTAAAAATAGTTGTCTCCGATTTGGTACTCTCACATTTGCTTTCCTTTTATAGAGCTTGTGAGCATGCTTCCCTTAACGCCAAGAGGAGAGGAAGTGCACTTCCATCCCAGCAGGTACTCCTTCTGCACATGGAAACCCAAGGAGCCTCACAGCAGGGAAATCGGGTGGCCTCTGTCCACGCTCCCACTGCTGATCTATTCATTATGATCTGAATTTAGCCTCTTCGCAATGGAAGAAAGACAGTCTGTAAGGGGCCGAGGCTGGAAACCTTATGATGTGCTCCCATTTTGCATGTTCATCACAAGCTAAAATGAAAAAAGAGTTTCTTTCCTCAGTGACTTTGAAAAGAATAGAGTGGTGATTAACAGCAATATTTTTTTTAATGAAACGCAACCCGTCATCTCTGTCATCTTCTGGCCATCCTCGCTTGTACGCGCCTCCCTGACAAGAGGAATAATAATGGTCATACATCACTGCTCTGCACGTCCAATCATCTAAATCTTCCCTCGCTGCAGCCTCTGAGACTCAATTACTTTATTGACATGCAATCTTCATAAGGGGAGAAATATTGTGCATGTAAGGTCACTTGGTTATGAAGACATATTATCATATTATCTGCATGAGGGTTGCAGGGCTAAGACCTGACAGAGCTAATTATAATGGTACATGATAGAAAGCTCAGTACACATTATTCGCTTCGCTGCACTAAAGGTGAGGTAAGTCCATGACATCATGGTTTTTTGAAAAAATAATGCAACTTAAGCTTGGAGGCTCTAACTCTTTTTTAACTCCCCGCATTTTTACTTTTTGGTTCTCACAGACAATGCAAGAACTAATGCATTGTTAATGGAGTCCTCAGATTTAAGGGAAGGGAGATGGCAGGCCCATGTAGTGTGTGTGTGTGTGTGTGTGTGTGTGTGTGTGTACGTGTGTAATTGTCTTGCTTACTCCCCATCTAACACCAAGTTTCAGTCCATTTCCTAGCAAGTGGAATGAGAATGACTCAAGGGAGGAAGGGAAAGGGATACAAATGTGTCAATTTGATAACAGAGTAAAGCTTCCCCTCACCCTCAATTAACCCCTCTCAGATCCTTGCCCCTTTCTTTCCCTTGGTCTCCCTGGCAGAGGCTTATCACACTGAGACTTAGTGCTTCTGGGTATGATTTCTTTGTTCAGATATATCAGGTTATTTAAGTGTTTGCCATCAGACTCCTGCTAGAAGCTTCATATATGGCTAGTCAGTCCTTCACTTCTTTGCATCCTCTGCCCATTTGTCATCCCCAAATGGGGGGTGATCCTAGGAATGGGTCATCCCAGGTGTATCCCAGATTGAGAGGCCACAGAGAGGAGCCCTAGTGGCAATTTTGCAAGAAGGGAGCATCAAGGAGAGAAATCTGGGTCGAGTTTCTGGGTCGTCCAGCCTTGCCACAGTTAACATGGACCTGGATGTAAAACTGGCATAGATTGGTCTTTGATGAGTCATCATGAAGTCAAAATCAAGTCAACCTCCATGGATGGGTTTGAGATAGCATCTGAACCTCAGCCCTGGACACATGTTCTAATTTCAGAGGGATTTGTGAACTTATATACAGGAATAAAAAAAGCCATTAAGAGTATCACAATAATCCAACATAGGCTGGCTCCTAGGATTATCTCTCCCTCAGCAAAGAACTAATTCAACAAAGGAGAAGAAATGACTAAAGTCTTCTAAGCTCCAGAAACTGCCTTGGTCTTCTAATATGAGTGCTCTGGCTCCAACATAAGAAGCACAGAGAACAAAAAATTGAGGTTATCCAAATTCTCTCTTACTTAATACTCTCATAATTCACATTCCTCAATTTCTGAAACAAAGTGGCTCAAAAATAATGGTGACATTGGTAACAAAGCCACACAGAGATGTGGATTTCTTTTTCTGAGTTGGAAATTGTGCATAATATGATGTTTATATTAAGTAAATTTGATTGTAACCCAGGTACAGTAGAAATGGTAACTCTTTAGACACTAAAATTTTAGATAGGCTATTTTGGATTAGATGGTCTCATGCATTGCATTTCTACCTCCAGCATCTCAAATGCATTTTTGCAATAGGGAAGCTCACAGTGTATCAATTTCCAACAGTTGATATACTAATTGGTATAAAATTGTATAGTTGGCAGAAAAAGAATTGGGCTAAGGTTTAAGAGATTAAATATCTACTCTTGACTCAACCACCCAAAATACATCCCATAGTTCCTTAGCCAAGGCAAAATTTCTCTTTACATGCTGAAGAAAGTACTTGTGAGACACAGAAGTATTCTGAAAAGACTATGGTGTTGCCTAATAAACTGCCTTGAAAATCTGGCCACCTAATTTATTAGCTTCATGATCTTGAGCAAATTTTTTTGCCTTCAAGCCTCAACTGCCCTTCTTTAAAATGGGTAATAAGTTGTTCACTTCAAAGGATTAGTATGGAAATGAAAATACACCTAGTAAATGGCAGTTATTGCTACCATTTTGGTCTTAGTGTGTTTGAAACTGTTTTGCAGATCAATTATGTAAAAAAAACATGGATTGTGAAGAGCAAAATCCCCTATGAATGTGAGACATGACTATTATTTGTGGTGTCACCAGACCAGACTCTCAAATATGAGAGCCATTTGTATTTTCAATTTCAAAAATATTTTCATCAGAAAGTCCTTGCCCATCCAGTCACTGGTGCTGTCTCAAAAAGCACAAAAGAGAGCTGTAATGGCATAAAGTAATATATTGTAGGGGGTAGTTATTAAAGACCAAAAGACAATGCCATTTGAAGGTGGGCCAGGACCTAGGATCACAAAGAAACTCATCTGGTTGTCTACTCCACATACCTGTCTTCACCATCATCCAGAGGGTTAGAGACCATAGTACAAAGAAGAAACCATTTTTTCCTATTTTGGAATCAGGGCATACTCTGTACCATTCTCCCTCCTAGCCTAGATTTCAGGAGGCCCTCAGTCTATTGGTCTTAAGCACAGTCCTTCACCTCTTGACACCTCATATTTTACATCTGGGAAAGTAATTTCTAGTGGTTGGTTTCCATCAATACCTCTTCAGTTGATTAGGATCTATAGTTTAAGAAAAGCAGACACTGGAGCAATGGGAACAACCATTCTAGTCAAGTTAGGGCATGAGATTTTGATTTAAGTGAAAAAGAAGACTATCATCTGCCACAAAATAGCCAAAGCAGAAGTTTTCAACAGTGCCTTTCACTTTAAAAAAAATGTCATATCATTAATTTTTAAATAGTCATTTTATTTCAAACTCTTCCTGGAATACAGAAAAATTAATTAATAATCACATGTATTATTTCATATAATCCTCCCAACATCCTTATGAAGTGAATATTATTGTCATCCCCATTTTGTTGGTGAAAAAAATCAAGGCTAAGAAAAGTTAAATGAATTTTTCCAGGTCAGACAGCTAACAAATGGCTCAATTTTACATTTTTTAAATTCCTCATCTTGGAGGGTTTTTGTTTTTTATTTTTTGTTTTTTGTTTTTTTGTATGTGCTTTATAGCAGGACATAGAAAAAATAAATACTTCTTTTGCCCACTGACCAATACTAGATAAAACAGGTTGTCACTCTCTGATAAAAGCTTTGAATTTGGGATGCCTGGGTGGCTCAGTGGTTGAGTGTCTGCCTTCATCTCAGGACATGATCCTGGAGTCTGAAGTTCTGGGCTTCAGTCCCACATTGGGCTCCTTTAGGGGAGCCTGCTTCACCCTCTGCCTATGTCTCTGCCTTTCTCTGTATGCCTCTCATGAATAAATCAATAAAATCTTTAAAAAAAAAAAAGGCTTTGTATTTGCTCAGCTATTGGACAGCACTGATGGGTGGTTAAATTCTTCTATTTTTTGCAGAGATTCAGGAGGGCAACCCCCTTTCCATATAAGGGGGAAACAGCAGAAATGCACTGGAAAGAGCATGAGTTGCAGATGAAGAGGAAAGGCAATGTTGGCTGTGGTGCAATAGATGCCCCCATGGCATTACTGAGTCCCAAGCAAACAAGAACAACTTTGCCACTTCTATTCTTCCACCATGGATATTTCCATCAAAGCTTGCTAGCCTTCAGAACATCTCTATTAATAAAAATGTAGGCATTCCTTGGAAGACTTCCACCTAAAGAATTAATACCTTGTTATCAGGATTGCTTTGACAACTACCCAAGAGATAGACTTGAAAGCGGGGCCTGAGTAGAAAGAGACTTCACTTTATGATTAGACAGACTGAGGAGAGAATGTGGTGAAGCTAAGTTTCATGTGTGTATGTGTGTGATCTTGATGATTTAGCTTGATATTTAGCCTAAATTCAAGGTCTATAAAGTATAAATAAATAATTTGATGAATGAGGTACACTAGCTGGTTGTAGACTAAATTCTCACTGACAAAAACTAGTAAATGCTCAGAAAAATATGTATAGGATTTTTTTTAAGCCCTTAGAGAGCTACTGAGCCAGTGAAAAAAAATGAAGGATAAGATCATGGAGAGAAAGGAAGTAGAGAGAATCAAAGTACAAGGACATGTCCCTAAAACCGGTACCACTTTCTCCCTTGAGGCAATTTTAAATTCTTAGGCTGCAATGAAGAGGCTGAAAAGCTGAACCAAACTTCAAATAGTTTTAGAGGTCTTGGGGAAAAATTAAATTAAAGTATGCCAAGGATAAGAGTCCCAAGTAGACATTCCAGACCCTCAACTGGGGCTCTGAAGAATTATATCTCAGGGGGAGAGGTGAGTGGAAATAGATCTGACCTCTCAGAGTCCCAGCTTCCCATTTACTCCATCATAAACTGGATTGTGGTGATTTTTCCCCACCCTAACTGCCTCCCAGAAACAAAATAAATCCTCTGTGGAGGGAAATAACACTATTCAGTGCTTCAAATTACCTCCATAATTTTTGTACTCAATGTCAGGTACTCTATGAAATATCACATGGCATACCAAAAGACAAGATCAAATGCCCCCCAAATCCAGGAGAATAAATAGAGGATACAGAGTTATCAGACATTCAGATATTGGAGTTATTAGCCACAGACTTGAACATATGAATCACATATATTTTAAAGATGTTAGTGAACAAAATAGAGAAACATAGAAAAGAACTGAAAACTATAAAACAGAATAAGATGAAAATTCAAGATTGAAACATTTAATAGTTTAAACCTAGGATTTAATTGATACATTTAACAAAAGATTAGACACAACAGAAGAGATGATTAAGAAAAGAGAGGATGAGTCAGAAGGAACCTATATTGCATGTAAATGAAGGGATCACTATTTTAAATGTTAAACACCCTATAAACTTCAGTTAAAAGGAAAGATGTAACAATGGATTAAAAATACAATATTCAGCTTACAAGAAACATATTAAATATAAGAATTCAGAGAATTTGAGAGTGAAGGAATGGAAGAAGTATATAACAAAAGTACTTACCATAAGAGAGGGTGTATGCATACAAATATCAAATAAATTAGACATCAGCACAGAACATTACTAAAAATAAAGAGGGAAAGTTTTATAATGATAGAGGAGTCAGTTGCTAAGCAAGATGTAAAAATTCTAAAATTATAAATACATGAAGCAAAATTGACAATACCGAAGGAGGCTAAAAGGAGAAATTCACAATCATAGTGAAGTTTCAACAAGCCATTCAGTAAGCGAAAGTAGCAGATGACAAAAATCAGGAGTTATAGCAATGAGTTGAACAGTATGATTCAGAAACTTGATCATACTCACACACATTCAAATAAACAAATTAAGAATATTGCACATAAAAACTGCCAACACTGAATAACACAAAACATTATCTCAAATTAAACATAGGCCAGGCTATAAAGCATGTGTCAACAAATTTGAAAAGAAGGAAATTATGCAGAATTTATTCCCTGCCCGGAGCAGAATTATCTAGAAATTATTTACAAAAGGTAACTGAGAAATGTCTAAGTGCTTAGAAATTAAGCAAAGTACTTCAAATAACTGAAGGGTAAAAATAAAGTCACAATGGAAATTTAAAAAGACTTTGAACTGAATGACTATGAAAATAACACATAAAAAACTTGTAGGATACAGGTAAAATGAAGCTTAGAAGACTATATGAATTAGAAAAAGAAGACTAAAAAGCACTGACCAATTATCCATCTTGGGCAGTCCGAGTGGTTTAGTGCCACTTTTGGCCCAGGGCCTGATCCTGGAGACCCAGGATCGAGTCCCACATTGGGCTCCCTGCATGGAGTCTGCTTCTCCCTCTGCGTCTCAGCCTCTCTGTCTCTCATGAATAAATAAATTTTTTTAAAAATTATCCATCTTAAGAAAGAATAGCAAATAGAACTTAACAAGCTAGAAGGAAGAAAATAGTAAGTAGAAAAGAACAAAATAATAAAATAAATGAAATATATACTAAAATAATCAACAAAGCCAAATTTGTTTTTTGAGAGGATTTATAAATGAACAATCTGGGGGCAAGGGTAGGGGTGAAACTGTTTAAGAGAAAAAGAGAAAAAAATACCAAATTATAATATTAGGAATGAAAGAAGGGACATTGATACAATGCTTAGAAAAAAACAGGTAAGAGGGAACTATGAATAATTTCATGCAAATAAATTTGACATTTAAATCCAATTTTAAAAATCTTTGAAAAACTCAGCTTACCAAACAGGCATAATAAAAAATAGAACAGCCTCATATTTTTAAGAAATTAAGTCTATAACTAGAAGCTTTCTCCCAAAGAAAACTCCAGCCATGGATTTTTTCCAAATACTTAAGAAAGAAATAGCACTGATGGTAAGTGAAGTCTCCTAGAGAATTTACAAAAAAAAAAAAAAAAAAAAAGGAAAAACTTCCCAATTTCTTTTTGAAGCTAGTAAAATTAAATATTAACATTTGATAAGAGCATTATAAGAATTAAAAATTGGAGGACAATCTTTCTCATTAAACAAAGGCTTAAAATTCATAAAGTATTAACAAATTGTGTGTATACATATATGTATGTGTACATGTATTAATATAACACAATCAAATTGGGTAAATCACAGGAATACAAGTTGCTTTAATGTTCAAAACCATTGAATTAGCCCAGAAAAGAAGTCAGACATAGACTGGGAGAAAATATCTGTAAAAGACATATCAGATAAAGGACTGTAACTAAAAATATTCAGAGTCCTTAAAACCATAAGAAACCATAAGAAAATGAGTAACTGTATTAAAAAGTGGACAAAGACCCAAACAGACACTTCACAAAAGATATACAAATGGTAAATAAGCACATATAAAGATGTTCAATAGCATATATCATCAGGAAATCACAAGTTAAAACAACGATGAGATATACTACATACCTATTAGAATGGCCAAAATCCAGAACACTGACAACACCAAATGATGACAAGGATTTGGAGCAACAGAAACTCTCTTTTGTTGCCAGCAGGAATACAAAATAGCACAGCCACTTTGGAAGACAAATTGGTGGTTTTTTTGTCTTTTGTTTTACAAAGTTAAGCATACTCTTAAATGCAATCCTTTGCATTTATTCAAATGCGCTTAAAACTATTCTACACAAAACATGCACATAAATGTTTATAGATGCTTTATTCATAATTATCAGGGAGTGGAAAGGAATAAATAATTATTTACAGGAGATAATACTTTGTATGTAGAGAAAATAAAAAGACTATAAATTCTTAAAATGAGTAAGTAAATTTAGCAAAGCTGCTGGCTTCAACATCAATATATGAAAATAATTTTCATCTCCTTGTACTAACACCAAAAAAATAAATAAAATACAATGAAAATCAAAGTAAATAAGATTTTTAAAAAATCACATAGCTAGAAATAAATCCACTGAAATGTATGTAAGATCTCTACACACATACACACACACTCACGCACGCTATAATATTGAAATAAACTAAATAAGACCTAAATAAGTAGAAACATATCTCTATGGTCATGGACTGGACGACATAACATTATAAATGTCAATCTCTACAAATTGGTTGGCAGCCTTTCATAGTAATCCCAACCAAAATCCCATACACTGTGTTTCATTGTTTCTTTCATTAAAACAAATAAAAGGATTCTAAAATTTGTATGGAAAAGATGAAAGGGGCCAAGTATAGCCAATATAAGCTCACTTCATTACTAGATATTAGGCCTTATCATAAGCCTATAGTAACTAAGAGGTTGTCATTGATCCAGAAGAGAATAAGTATATGAATGGAACAGAATAGAAAGTCTAGAAACAAATTCATACATATGCAGACAACTGATTTATGACAAAAACAGTGAGGAATGGAAAGTTTTATCAGATATCCTCATGAAAAATTAATTATTGACCCTTTACCTCACATCATACATGAAATAAATGTCAGATATATAATACGTCTAGATATGAAAGTAAAATATAAGGCTTCTAAAGGATAACATTGGAGATACATTCATGATCTTTGCGTAGTTGTTGAAATAAATTGCTAATCTCAAAATTGCTGAAATAAGACTCCAAAAGCACTAATCATAGAGGATTAAGACTGATAAACGACTCCAACAGTATGGAAGGCTACATATATTAAATAAGAACAACAACAAAAAGAAAATAATATACACTATATGCTTCCATGCTTCCATGTATATAAAATTCAAAAGCAAGTAAAAGTTATCTGTGGTGTTTAGATTTGAATGTTGGCTATCTTTCAGGAGGAAGAAAGACTCATGACCAGAATAGGACATAAGATGGGATTTTGATGGGGGAGGAAGGGGTA